AAACGCCCCGAATCAACCCACCTCAGCTACATCAAGGCACAGTATCCAACTAAACGCTGGGTTTGGGGGGCCGAAGGCCCCCCAAACGCCCCGAATCAACCCACCACAGTTCCAAAAGGAACAGTATCCTCCTAAACGCTGGGTTTGGGGGGCCGAAGGCCCCCCAAACGCCCCGAATCAACCCACCAAAGTTACCTAAAGGCAAAGTATCCGTCTAAACGCTGGGTTTGGGGGGCCGAAGGCCCCCCAAACGCCCCGGATAAACCCACCACCGCTATTAAAAGGCACAGTATCCTACTAAACGCTGGGTTTGGGGGGCCGAAGGCCCCCCAAACGCCCCGAATCAACCCACCCCAGCTACTTCAAGGCACAGTATCAGCCTAAACGCCGCGTTTGGGGGGCCGAAGGCCTCCCAAATCTAAACGATGGGTTTACGGGGCCGAAGGCCCCCCAAACGCCCCGTGTCAACCCAAAAAGCTACTTAAAGGCAAAGTATCCAACTAAACGGAGCGTTTGGGGGGCTGGAGGCCCCCCAAACGCCCCGAGCCAACCCACCACAGCTATCAAAAGGCCGAACGCCCACGAATCAACTAACCTCAGCTACCGAAAGGCACTCGAAACTAAAAGGGGGCCGAAGGCCCCCTAAATGCAAAACAAAGGATTCTAAACAATTTAACGTAAATCACCAAGCAATAAACTATAGCTAGCGTTCTTTTAAAGCCGCAGGCTTTCCACGCGCGTCCCTGGACGCGCCCCAAAGCTCTAACAGCGCGCGAAGCGCGCCCAAAGCCGTCAGGCTTTCCAAAACCAAAAAGTATGGTTCCAAAGGCTCCCCCCGATAAAACTAAATATACAGCACTGTAATAAGCACCCCAGTGGTTAAACCCATCACTAGCGATGAAGTTTTGGCACCGAACCGCATTTGCACATTTTGAGAACTGAAAAATAAATTTGTACAACTTTAATAATGATTATTTCGAAAAACCTAAAAATAATTAAAAAATATTTTGATGTAGATAACAAAAATACCGAGGTTGTGTAGTCAACATCAAGATGGTTCATTATACGAAAAAATTTTGTGCAAGAAAATTTTTTATTTTTTGTAAAATTGTTTATTCTCAATTACAAATTTTTCACTTTTATTTTTATGACATGCTTATTTTTGATAATTCTAATTATTAATAAGATTACAGCACGTAAATCGTTTACTATATAAAATTAAACAGAAGTAAAAAAGTAACATAAAATCTTTAAATAGCTTTTTTAATTATCTATACATTTTTTAACTATTTAAAATATTTCTCATTTTTTTCTACTTTTCCAGAATATAATTATTACAAGATATAATAATTTACATTATTTAATTTTATAAGTTGTTTCTTATAACAGGTTTAATTAAATAATTCGCCGAAGTTTTTATTTTACATAAAAATTAAGTTATAAAATTGTAATTAATACGTATTATTATTACTTTATATATAGCATATTTTTGAATAAGAGGTAAGGAATTTTTAATGTAAATTCTATTGTTATTTTAAATGTATGTATTTTATTGTAATCTTCAAGTATATTTTATATAGAACTTATTTTATTGAAAATAATTTTATAATTAAATAGATAAAGCATATAAAAACGTGTTGTATATTAGACACTCAATAATAGCATTTTGGATTTTATAAGCTTATCCATTTTAACAGATCGAACATTGTTTTGGCTTTGTATTTTAAAAAAGTGAGCCTAAAGTGTTGGGAATACCATGGAATATTAAGAATGATAAAATAATTGTAAAATTCCCTCTAATAAATTACGTGAAAATAACAAAGAGAAATGTACTCTGTCAGTTAGCAAGTATTTTTGATCCACTCGGTTTTGCGTCTCCAAGCTTGTTAGAAGCAAAGTTATTCTTCCAGTCGTTATGGGAAAGTAAAAAAGAATGGGATGAAAATCTACGTGAAGAGGAAGCTAAAGAATGGATAAATATAACCAAAGCTTGGGAAACCCCTGACATTGAATTGGACAGAAGAATAATTCAAAGTGAGTATAGATGCCAACTTCATGTATTCTCTGATGCATCTAAGAATGCATACGCTGCTTGTGTTTATGTACTAACGAGAAATATTGACACCACAATGATCCATTTAGTTTATGCTCGAAACAGGCTAAGGCCAAAGAAAATGCCTATAAGTATACCAAGAATGGAACTATTAGGAGTAGTAATCGCGACACGAATAATTAAATTTGTAGAAAGACAAATAGGAATTGAAGTAAATGAAAAATACCTTTGGTGTGACTCAAAGTCAGTTCTTTATTGGATAAAAAACAATCAAGAAAAAGAAAAATTTGTACAAAATAGAATAAAAGAAATAAGAACTAATATTGATTTAAAATTTGGTTACGTTCCTACTGAAGGTAATCCGGCAGACATAGGGACTAGAGGCTGTACGCCATTAGAGTTACGAGCAAATAAACAGTGGTGGTATGGCCCTGTTTGGTTGGAAGGACCAAAAGAAAACTGGCCAAGTGAACTTAATTTTCAAATCAATGAAGAGAAAAGTGAGAATGAGTTTGAGGAAAGAACGGCAGGAATCAATAATTTCAAGGATGAAAATTTTATTGAAATAAATGATTGGAGTAACTGGCTCAGATTAATAAGGTGCATAGCACGTGTTTCTAAAATAGCAAAAAATTGGTTAAATAGATGTAAAATTAAAATTACTAGTGAAATATTAATAAAAATAGACAAAGAATATCCAATTACTGTTACTGATTTGAGAGAAAGCGAAAAAATAATTTATAGAATGGTACAAAAATCCTTAATAAATTCAAAAAATAATAACATAAAATTAGTAAAAGATTCTGATGGTATATTACATTTACAGTCCAGAATTAATAATTGTGAAGCTGATGATGGGTTTAAACACCCGATAGTACTTCCTAAAAGTAACCCAGTTATTAAATTGATCATGAAGTATGAACATGAACGACTCTTACATTCTGGAGTTGATGCAACTCTTGGAGCATTCTTATCCAAGTTTTGGGCCCCTTGTAGTAGAAGAGATGCGAAAATTATAGTAAAGGGCTGTAAAAAATGCCAGAAAATAATTGGCCCAACATTTTCACTACCTGAGATGCCAAATCATCCTAAAGAGAGAGTATGTATATCAAGACCGTTTGAATCTGTAGGCATAGATTATCTCGGTCCGTCGATATGTAAAATTGATGGCAATAAACAGAAATTTTGGATTGTTCTGTTTACATGCTTTACTACTAGAGCAATACATTTAGAAATTGCCTTCGAGTTAACAGCTCTAGCTTTCTTACATGCATTACGTAGATTTATAGCCCAAAGAGGAGTACCCGCAAAAATCATATCGGATAATGCAAATCAATTTAAGGTTGTTCCAAGAGTATTGATGCAAAAATAGTTGGAAAATGGAGTCAAGATAAACAACCAGAGAAAAATAAATTTAATAATTTTATTATAAATCGTGGAATAGAGTGGAAATTCATACCGGCACTATCTCCTTGGCAAGGTGGTATATATGAAAGATTGGTCAAACTTGTGAAAGATTCCTTTAAAAAGACACTTGGTTGTGCAATTTTAAATGTTGAGGAATTAAAAACATTTATAAAGGAAGTAGAAATGGCGATAAATTCTAGACCTTTAACTTATGTGTCGACTGAAAGTGAAGGATTTTCAGTTCTTAAACCTGTAGATTTCATAATACCCAATATAGATAATAATACACACTTGATCGAAGAAACAAAAGATATAGATGAAGAATATAAAACAGGGAGATTAAGTGGAGCAGACCAACTGAGAGAAAAATGTAGCACACTTAGGAAAGCATTAGAACGATTTTGGAATAGATGGTCAAAAGAATACTTATTGGTTTTACGTGAAAAGTCAAGATGGACACACCAAAATCCACGGACATCTATAAAAAGAGATCCAGCGATTGGAGAAGTCGTAGTAGTACAACAGGAAGGACAACCAAGAAATTCTTGGACTTTAGGAAAAATAATTGAATTAGACGGAATACCCTCTCGCAGTGCAAAAATATTAATTGGAAATAAGAAATTAGTTAGACCCATAAATAAATTATTCCCTCTTGAGGTGAATGAAACAAGTGAACCAAACGACGAAAATAATGAAAAAGAAAAGGAAAAAGTTGAAATAAAAACTAAAAATAGAATCAATAATCAAACCGACAATACAAATAGAAACATAACTCCTCACCCTATGATAACAAGATCAAAAAAGGCTCTTTTATTGCAAATAGTACAATTTTTATCAATATTCATTTTAGTATTAACACAAGAAAGAGGACCAATAAGGAGTTGTAGAGGTTGTAAACTTATATGTAAGGATTATGGAATTAAAGTTATTGGATTACCCGAAACAAAGAAAATAGAAATTTGCTGTATGGGTAGCTGCTTACTAGAAACAAACTCAATTAGTATACTTAAATTTTCACTCCCAAAAGATGTTACCCCACTAGAATATAAATGCCAAGTGACATTTTGGGACAGATGGAGGAAATATAGAGATCGAATAACTTGTCCACCAGTAGATCCATGTAAAAGAGTTGAAGGATTTTTTGAAAGAATTACAAATCCTCAATGTGAATCATTTGAAACTTTAATATTAATTGGTACATTTACTGGAATTATTTTGAGTATTTCAGTTGGATTATTAATGTTTTTGTGTAAATTATTCGTTATATTTGGATGGTTGACGCATTCTATTTGGAAAATAATAAAAACAATATTTAGAGTTTTCAAAAAAAAAGGAGAGACTAAAGTACATGAATCGAGTAAAAATTTAATTAGTAAATCAAAAACAGGTGCAAGGAATAGTAAGAAAATAAAAAGAAACAGACGTTTACACAAACTTGGAATAATTGGATTAATAATTCTCGAACTCATTAGTTCAATTATATGTGAGATAGAAGTAGTTTCGATACAAGCTAAATCAGAAGACTGTCAGAGGAAAGCTGGTAGTTATTCTTGTAAGATAAATACTGTTAATACATTAACAATGCTTCCTGACGGTCAAGTTATTTCATTATCGATTAAGAATGAAAAGGGAATGCTTATGGGAGAATTAGAATTTTCAATGCCCGGTTTATCAATTCAATGTAATCAAAAAACTATAAAACATCTGCGTTCATATGAAATAAAGATAGGATCGGTAAAACGTTGTCCGGCTGACGGAAGCTGTAAAGCGGGTCGTTGCATACATATAAGAAGAAAAGAGAAAGTACCCGAATTAAATGAATGGTCAAATAATCCTGGAAATGCATATTGTATAGAAGGGCAGTCTCTTTGGTCCTATCAATGTGGATTACCCGGATCTGCTTGTTATTTTTATCAAGTATATGCGATTAAAAAGTCAGATAAAATATTTGAATTAGTATCATGTCCGACATGGGATTATCTTATTGATTTAGACGTTGGTCTTATTATTAATGGAAATCTGACAAAAAATAAATTTTCCTTGTTTCCGGGAATGACATTCCATTGGAAAAATATAAAATTTACACTTGTTGATTTAATTGCCCCAATGGCACCAATTTTAAATAATAAATTCTTAGTAAGTGATGACAGTGTTGCACTAACCGAAAATTTTGAAACCGCACTTGAATGTGGAATTAACGCAGACAATTTTTCTTCGTGTGTACTAAATTCAAATGCCTGTGGCGAATGTTGGCTAAATCACGAGGAAGAAAGAATAGATTGTGCATGCAATGATTTATCATTAGAAGAAATAATGAAAGATCCTAAAAGAGCACTTCCCCTCGATATTAAAAGAATAAAACTCAGAAATAACGGAAGAAAAATCTTTTGTGAATCAAGTTATCTTCCAGTTCAGCTTATGCTTCGAATGGAAAATTGGAGTATCGCAGCAAATATGGATATTTCTATTTGTCATATAACACCAATTAAGTTGATGGGTTGTTATAACTGTGGGCGCCGCATTTAAATTCACATGTAAATCTGATTTTGGCAATCCTTTAGCCGAGATTAAATGTAAGAGTGGTACGACTTCTTGTTAACCATAGTGATGGGTCCACTTTTTCTTGAGGCGCAGTGTCATCAAAGATGACGAGAATTTAAAAATAAAGAATATTTAAAATATAAATTTAAAAAGGATGAATCATTTAGCCAAATAAAAGAAAAGAATTTTAAAGAAAATATTCAGTTTTTTCACTTTTTTCACTCTCTTTTTTTAAGTTTCTTGCCTTTCTAAAAATTAATAAAATTCTCTCTTTCTTTGAAAATAAATAAATAAATTTGGAAATTTGAAGTTTAAAGGATTTGGAAATTTAAGTTAGAATTTAGAAGAATAAATTTAATTTGATTGCCCTACAAGAGGTAGGAAGGTGTTAAAATATCTTAGTGTTGATATTTTTTCACAAAGATTGATAAAAAATTAGTGATTCATTTTTGGCGAAGCGGGCAAATTAGAAAATAAAGAGATAAATTTTGGCCTAGTTCCGACAAAAATGGACCGTAAATAACTTTAAATTTAAGCGCAAAAAAGAAAAAGAATTTTTAAACGAACTTTAATAAAAATCTATTTTTATTTTCGAAACGACTGACAGTAATTGCTAGACGCTTTCGCTTTCCATATACATGAGCTCTACTATGAGCTACGAGGCATCGACTAATGCGTTCTCTTTTATACTTTTAAATAGAATTTAAAGTGCTCTAGTTGAATTATCACTACAATATATAAATAAAACTTTTACTTATTTCATTGCCAATGTAGATAATTCTGTTTTTTAAATCCTCTAGATATACAACTTTTTGTTTTTCTAACAATTCTATTTTATATCCATTTAAATTAATTTCCTTCCAATAACTTGATAAAAGCTTGTTTTCATAATTAAATATATTATCTTGAATTGATTTCAAATCATTATTAGTTTTTAAACTCTCATTTAATATAGAAGTTTCATAATAATTGCTCTTTTCATCAAATTCATTATTTCGAAGTAACTTAAATTTATGATTATAGTTAGAGAAACACAACACGATAATCTAAAAATCTCGCAGTGTGTGATTGCTGGAGCTGATCTTGACCGCTAGATAGCAGTTTATACTAATAATAAAAATATATAAAATACCCGTTTTTCAAATTGAGTTAAGATATTTTGAATTTTGTGATTATTAGCAATTTCAATCACAATTTTCCTTTTTAATTGTTCACAAGAACTATTATATCTTGTTGATTTTATTTCAGTTGTAAAAATATTTTTCATAGGATTAAATTCAATTAAACGTAAATATCTTTCTATATTTTTATTCAAGCCATCATGTTGGTTATTTTTCTTATCAATTGTTTTCACCACAAAACGCCCCTTTAGATCAACATTTTTTAGATAAATAAAGTCTCTTTTTTCTTCCCAATCATTTTTGATTTTTAGTTTAATAATTTTTCCTCTGCATTGAATATTTAATAAAATAAACAAATTAAGAAGGAAAACCAATTTTACTAGCATCTAAAACACTTTATTGATGACGGATTTAAGATTTATTAAAAGAGAAGAGCTTTACGTGGTAGAGTTCCTTTTTCAGCGCCGTAGGCGAAAATTTTTAGAATATTGGAAGGTCTAGTTGCCAGATTTCTCCCTTATATTTTGCGAAATTTAGAAGCTGTTTTTAACTGTTTTTTAACAAACAACAGCCATGGAGCCAGATTTCATGAATTTTAATAATAAAATAATGAATCAAAAAGTGAAGCATTAGAGCATTCTCGAAATTTCGATTTGTATAAACTAAGATTTCGAACCTAATATGCAAAACAGCTATTAAAAGCAGAGTCGAAGTGTAAATTTAAACAAATCAAATTTTTGACTATTTGACAACAATTGCAAATTTTAAAAGCAAAAATTCATAAACAAAAACAAAAATCTGCACAATTTTTTAATAGAATTCAACTCAGAATTTCATGCACATAATTAGAATAACCCTAGTTTAAAATCCGGGGTAATTACTATAATAATTTAATCTTTGTTGAGACCCTATATTAAATAGAGTATCGTTTTGGCATTTTAAATAAATTCTAAGGACATTAGAGCTCTTTCGAAATTTCGATACTTTATATTTAATCAACGATTTTAAACACTCACAAGGCATAAATGTAAAAATAAATGTAAACAAACTACAAAAATTTAATTGACGAATTTTATTAAAAGGGCAATTGACAGAAAGAAAAAAAACGATGTTCATGCTGCGGAGAAATACATTGGATGGGAGATAGAATAAAACAATTATCGAAACCGCTTTAGATCTATAGTAGTAAACTAGGCTTAATTTTTTTGTTAGATTTTGAATAAAGATAATATGGAATACCGTTATTAAAATAGGCCAAATAGCATAATAGTTTGCTTATAGGTTGAGATCATAAATTTGTTGAGATCATATATTGGTTTAGATCATATAATTTTGAAGGTTCAATGCCATGCGGGGGGATAGAAATATTTTTGAAATTACTACTGCGGCAAGGACAATTAAGATTTCAACCAAAATATTTCCAAACGCGTGAAAGACAAATGGTAGGTAAATATATAAAAAAATAAAAAATATTATTGACTAATTAATATAAATAAGACGGTAAGTTATAAAATGTATTTATGTTATTTTATATTTATTTTCTCACCGACTTATTTTTAAATTTGCACTTTGGTTAATATAATTAGTAAATAAAATTTTGTAGTTTGGTTAGATTTGTACCCCTTTTATCTCTAAAACATGTTTCGAAATACTTGAGTCGAAATCTTGATTGCCAATGTCAAAATCGAAATTTCGGACGGATCCTATTAAATTAATTTACATATGTTGAAAGTAAAAAATGGACTATTTATTTAAAGTGTCTCAATAAAATTAGAATACATGTTTCATATATTTTAAACAAGCTTATTCAAATTATTCGAATATTCACTCACTTTTGACATTTTATTAGAATTATATCTAAAAAATTAGTTCATTTGGTATTCTCGTCGTTAAAATTTAATTTTGTTGTTAACTAGTAGAGTCATTTGTTATATTAATATGCATAAAACCTTTTATGCCCGAGGTGTCCTAATATTAAAAACTTGAATAATTTTTTCTGTTTAATTTTAACATTTTTCATACTTTTTAAAATTGCACTTTTTGGCAAATACCGCGGTTAATATAATTAGTCAATAAAATTTTTTATTTGTTTAAATTTGCCCTTCGGCTCTGCTTTTAAAAGCTGTTTTGAAATATTAGGTTTCAAATATTGGTTTATCATATCGAAAATCGAAATTTCGAAAAAGCTCTAATGCCTATAGCATTTAATTTAATATTTCAAAGTGCATCCCTATGCAATTGAAAATAATAATAAATCAGAATTTAATGATCCGTTAAAAAAGAAAGTTGTGAATAAGTTACCAAAATAAAATTATTAAAAATAATTTTTAAAAAACCTTAACTTAAGTTCGCAGAATATTTCGAAAATTTAAAAACAAACAAAAATTCTTTTGACTAATTTTATTAACAGTGTCAATTGACAAAAGTGCAAATTTCTTAATTTCTTAAGAGACAAATTAAATTTTTATATTTATTTTTTGCATTTTTGGACTTTTAAATTTGTACTTTCTTTTAAAATAGTAAAAATAAATTTTTTTATTTGTTTTAATTTGTACTTCATTTGTTTTAATAGCTGTTTTGAATTATTCGGCTCGAAATCTTGGTTTATCCAACTCGAAAATCGAAATTTCGAAAATTTTTTTATCTGTAAAGTGGGCTAAACAATAATCGCGCACTGAAAGGCGAGTTGGTCTCTGCATATTTTATGTTGCTTTGTGGAACTATTGCATGTCAATATACACTGCGGTGCATATGTTTATGCACACTAGTTTTTTGTTCATAATTTTATGCTATTTTATTCAAAAAATACGTTCTATATAGCAATCGAAAGCTCTATTTGTATCTCAGTTGACATGTTTCTGCATTTTCCATGAAAATGAAAATTGGCCGAGATAATCCAGATCTACCGGATATACCAAATCCCATATCCTCGGAAAAAATTTTCGGAATTAATTTAACAAACCCATTTGATAAAGCATATTTTTGTGAGTATTTACCACAAACTGCTTAGAAATATCTTTTTCCGGAACGGAGATATGATTTTTTGAAGATCGAAAAAAGCGTTTTTTTTGACGAAAAATGGCAAAAATATGGTATTTTTTCGATTTTCAAAAATTCATAACTCGGTCGAATCTCGACCGATTTGGATGATTTTTTTGTATTATATGTAGAATCTAGAGGAGAA